GTTCGATGCCACTTTGTCGACATTCCGTGGAACCTCGGTCGCCTCCATTATCTTGCTGGTTGTCTGACTCATCGCTTCCCCAACACTCGTTGCAAACTGCGTGTTCGACTCCCCCCCAATCTGTGAGCATCCCAACCGGATTGTCTCAACGCCATGGCCAGCTTGAGGAAGATCGATCTTCCAGTTGATACTCTTGTATGACCGACTTGACTCCAAGTCATAGAATCCGTGTTTATATTCCACTCGGTTTTTGGAGTGAAGACATTCGAATAGCAATCGAGCCTTTTCCTCAATAGCTGCTTTATCCGCTCCGTCATTTTCTTTCCTAACACGAAATATGATTTCGCTCTTCGCCAATTTCAACCACGAGGCTCCATCCAGTCTGGCTCTGACTTTCCATCCTTTTGTTAGATGGACTGCCATCATCCACTTCCCCTGTACAATGCATGGCTCGAATAAGTCCATATGCCACAAAATGTGATGCCCCCACTTGTCAAACGTCATTTCTGGCACCTTGTCTAGAATGAAGTACGGCTGTTCACTGGCCTGCGCAATGCTATCAGGGATATTATCACCGGGCATCAGCTTCGGGAGGGCATTTGGAACCGCAAAGTCATCCTCGTCATCGTCTGGCCGCATTTCGTTGACCGAGTTTCCTCGAGATTGAGCCTTTTCCCGGAACCCTTGACGATTGTCATGAATCAGTACATTCTCAAGTGCTTGAATTGGCGTAAGTGAATCCGTTTGCATGTGTTCAATGAAACTCGCCCTGTCGGTCACGTCATGCGTTGGACTGCTCGCACCCGCCGATTTCGTGCGAACTTCTTCTTCCTGGAGGCTTGGCGCGTTGCATGCAGGCACGCTTTTCATTCCCTCTCGCATACGTTTCACTCGCTCCTCGATTTCGAGGTCTGAGGTTTCAGTCTCCTCATCGCTCTCGATCGGATTCCACGCATCATATTCTTTGGCAATCTTGCTGTATCCATCGTACATCAGCATTGCCTGATTTCCTCCGAACTTCATTCGTTCGCATCTTGCTACGAACATCGCAAACGACCCCACTTGCGCTTTATGGTAGCCACTATACGCTTCCTGTGCCATCGCTTTGCGAACTATGTAGTCATGCTCGAATGGCGTCTTGGGTTGGCCTTGGAACAAATATTCCCACATCTTGTTTCTCTTCTTGCCCAGCTTGTGGTACATGTCCCTGTCAGGACGATGCGCAGTCTTCTGTCGCTCAACGGTGCATTCGTTTCTCGCATCCTTCCCGAGAATTTCGATGACCTTCGTCAAGTATGAAATGTCTTTTAACGACGAGTCGCATGCAAAAACATGATGGCCAGCGCGCAGGAACCCCCACACAAGTCCGACATGCGACTTTCCAATAAGAATCACCCCCTGGTCCTCGTGCAGAAACGAACTGCACAACTTCTGCAACCGTTTAGGATGTCGTTCCCACCGCCCATACACCTCTCGTTCGTTTCCTTCCTCGCCACCGTGCTTTGCTATGCATCTCTTGAATTGCTCCTCATCAACGTTCAACTCCACTATCTCTGCCTCCGATTTAGGAGCCCTCGTTACCTTCCTGAGGTCGCCCCCCTCAGCATGCAGGACGGCCGCCATCGTGTCCTTATAATCGAATTGCCAGTTTCCATACTTGCTAATAGCCGTTCCGAACGCGAGATAACGCTTCCAAGTCCCGAGTAGCACCTCTGCATCGTCCCAGTTGTAAAGTTGCTTCATGACGGCCTTGTGCTGTTTTTGCGGAGCAAATACAATCAGAATCCAATTATTACCGCACAATTTCGTCATCATTTTGCGCAGAGCATCGAAATCGGTTGGCGTCCATACAAGGCAGTCCTTCGGGTTGGCGAGATCCAGGATGGCCGCCTTGCAATTCAAGTTCGTGGCCGCAGTCACAATTTCGTCGCCTGCAGGCAGCAACTCCTTCGGTTGCATGTTGACCGGTAGCAATGTTGACCGTCGCTGTTTCTTCTCCCAGCTAAGATTAAGGGCAGCGTTCTTCAACCGCC